ACTAATAAAGTGATCCTCTATAAAATTTTACTTCTGCTAAAACTTCCAATATTAAAAAAATTGTGTATTTTCAAAAAAAAAACTTTGCGAAGGATAGTTGACGAACATGATTTATTGAATTAACCATCTTTTATTAGTTAATTTATTATTAGTGAATTTATTGATGAATTTATAATTCACTCTTTATTGGTTATTAATGTTTTATATTTCAAAACTCTGTTAATAGTTATTTCATTTTCTACATATCATTAATGTTCTACATTGTTTAATATCTTGTTCATTTAGACTTAATGAAGACCTGCAAGTGGCTCAAAACGTTTCAATAAATGGTTTAATCTATTTGATATTTTTTTACCACCAACTCGTACCATCTCATCTCTCATATCATAAGATTTCATCTGGAACAACTATGTGTCTGAAAATTGCTAGAGGTACGCAATAACATAAAGTTTGGGAACAGTTGCAGTAGAGGTTTTGCAATAAGTGCAAGATGATACGAGGAACTTTCCGTTTTCGACCAATGTAAAATTCTCTTGATGAATTTTCACTAATACCTTTCCATCTGGTGGTGAGCATCGAAGTAATCACTTGCAATTTCTAAGAAACAGCTGACCCAAATAGGCGAGGTAAGTGCGAAGAGAACTTTGTGCTGAGGCATCGTTAGAAAGTGAAAGCCGGGACGAGATTTCCTCTGGATATCGCTCTCTTAATTTCCTCTGGTGTGGAAACCATTGTTTTTACCAAGGTACTGCAGAGCATCATCTATTCCTTAATGTTACCTCGCTCATCAACCATTGCACAGAATCTCCCCAACCATATATCCATCCTAAGGTCGGAATATCGTTCATTTAACACAATACAACAACATTGCACGGCTACTCAACTGTGATGAGTTGCTAAATAACACAGCATAGTCCTCAATCAATAGATAATGCGGTATAAAAATATAAGAGGAGTCAGATCAGACCATTGGAATGCATATCAGATATGCCAAGAACGGCATATCTAGATCAATATATGTGTGGTGATGGAGGATTCCCAACGAATCAAAAATAATAGTTTCTTTCATGATCTGCATCCGCTCCCTTCCAACACCAAGCCTCTGCAAGAAATTACTTGAATTAAGAGGGATGGTTCTCCTGCTTTGGAACCATAACCCTTTAAGTAATCTCTCTCGCCTAATTCATCTCTATACTTATCTTTCAGGTAAGGTATGCATTTTGTATAAATTTCCTCTTTCTCTGCCTGTACCTTGAAGTCCTGATCCTGATCGTTGGTTTCAAATCTGATCGTGAGATCCACTACGAGTGCCTCCTTTTCCGTCGCATGATGTGAATGAACCTTGTTGATCCTTCTGTATCCAGGTAACAAACTTCCAGAAAACATTTATAGTTGTTATGTTAATTTAAAAACATAAATTATATAAATAATATTTTTTGTTCAGTTGCAGCACATTTTGTGTGTGTACTTCATATAAAACTAAAAACTTAAAATTAAAATTACTCATTCTCAATAGCTGTTACGAAGAGCTGTTCCTAAGATGTGACGAAGTCCTTATTTAAATGATAATTAAAATTTTAAAAAACTTTTTACTTACTACTAGTCGCTTTTAACTTAGGTTAAAAAAAAAAACTCGATTTAAATGAGACGCAAAAGCTTCTTCATTACCTAGCAAAATTATCAACGTTAAAACTAATTATTTTGTATTTCTGGTAAATTTCCGAAGAGAGTAACATAACCAGCATAAACAGTAGGATCTTGCATTTCGATGCCACAATAGTTACTACAGATATTCTCTTGAATAAAAATTAGAGATCTTAACATTAATACGATACATTATATTGGGAATAAATCAGGCAATTAGATGCTGTCAACACTATCTCTTAAAAGAAACTGAATGATCCCGAATTAGTCCTATATATATTTAACCCAAAACTTCCTTTAGGGATTCAACAAGTGATGTCTTGATAAATTGATTAAGAAGTTATTTTTTATGGCACAAATTTTAAAAAATATATTATCTATAACTCGTAACCATAGTATCTAATAGTACCTCGTAAAATATAGTATCTATGACACGACAGGTTCCTTAATAATTATAAATTTTAAAAAAAATTAGAAACAATATATCACCAATAAAAAAAAAAAAAAAAAAAAAAATTGTCGCAAACTGTAATAAACGCAATGAAAAAATCATTTTCATTTCCTTAAAATTTTATTTGATGATTTGTTTTTTGGTTAACTGAATTTATTTATTCAAATTCGTAATTATATATAGTTAATGTTTAATTGATTTATTGAAATTTAAAATTATCTAATGTTTATGTTTAATTTATCCATCATTATTACTAGTTAATTTTTATAATAAAATCGAGACGTCAGGAAATAATAACTAAACTATTTTCAGAAGAAAGCTCCTGACCCACGCTTGTTTCGTTAAGATTACACGCATTTCACTCATCTTTCTTGCTAATAAATACAAATTTATATTTTTTTCATATTCAGTTGAAATCATTTCACATAAAAATCCATGTAATATGAATGAGATGGAATTTATTAAGGTCCTTTTATTTAAAACGAAAACAAATTTCCATTACGAGATAGTACTAAAATTATACATTTCATCACTCTCTAAAGAAACGAAAAAAAAAAAATATCGAAAACCAACCGCTGTTAGTGAACGTACATCGTAAATAAACTGAGTATAAGAAAATTTTCTCATATTTCCATGAAAATCCGTTTATTTTTTGTAAATTCTTTAATACAATTTGGTAAGGAAAAGCATCGTAAACGGATACAATTTTAAACAAATGTAATTACTTCCCTCTAAACAAAACACCAACAAATTACTATTGTAGATAAACAAAGTATCGTTTTAAAGGACTAATTTTTTAAACTATTATCTATGTTTTTAAAAATATATTACGCATGGTAATCTGTTAACATTTTTTAAATTTATTTATTTTATTTTATGTTTTTGGAATAAATCGAAAACTTTATTTTATTTTATTTTCTTCTTCCTCTGCCTCTCGGCAATACAGATTTTTGGTAGAAGTATCGCGATACTTGTACCACTTATCCTCTGGTTCTTCGGTCTTCGTTAGTGGTGGTTGAAGTGGTCATCCCACACTAATTCTTTCCAACCGTACACATGTGTAAAATAAATCGAAAATTATATATCTCTCGGAATATGTCTAATTCTCATTAAAATCAATAATTAATAAATTGGTTACAAAGCTTACATTTGTATTGTTTTAAATTTATTTGAAATCGGTAGGAAAGGCGCGACTATTTTTAGTAGATATTTTTGAGTAGTAAATGTTGAAAAAAATTAATTAGAAGACGGTTGTTATAGGTACAATGAGTAAAAATATCGTTGTTAAATGTTTTTATTTTTCATTATGTTGTTCTTGTACTCTACGTCTGGAGTATTTCTACTATATTAATCTTTTTCTTTTTTTACTTTTCTCATACAAAGTCGTATCTTATTTACTGAAGAAGGCCCATAAAGTGAGCGGACAATTCGACATGCATTGAACAGCATATAATTTTCACTATCTTAGATTTTTACCTCAACACAAAAAAAACAAAAGGAAAAAATTGTAATATTCATTACACGTTTATGTGTTATTTTTTAATTTATGTTAAATCCCTGATTATATTTTTAAATGATAGTTAAACAAAAAAAGTCTCCCGAAATTGTCAAATAACTCCAATATAAAAAACTAAAAACAATAATATAAAATTTTCAGATCTTATATAATTCTTAAAATTAGAAAAAATATAAATGATAACAAAATAAATATTTTAACCACCAACAAACTAATAACCAAGTCCGGTATATTGGTCTGTGTGCATGTTATCAGTCAAGCTCAAAAACAAAAATTAGTTTCTAGGTGAAATAACATACTTAAGGTTTGTATATGCTATGGATGTTACAGTAACTTTTTCGTCAAAATCGACTGACTGGCACTTTATATCCTGGGCTAAACACATTCTTACAATTTTCTCTGAAATGGCTCTAACGGTTTTGATTAAATTCATTATATCAGTATAAAATTGAGCAATTTTAAATAAAATGTAGTTTTTACTCTGATAGATGTTCTCTAACAGAGCATAAATGGCTAATTTTCAATATTAGTTTCCACAAAAGCACTTTTAATTTTTTTTATTTGAAACAATTGACTATTTCACTTTAATCTCTAATATAAAATATAGTTAAATATAAAATATGTGAGAATTCGATAATTAATTAAAGGAGAAATAAAAAATCGTAACAGAAAATAGTTGTAATTGATCGCATCCGAGCTCGCCCGAAAGATTATAACATGCTTCCATACGTAATATGATCTTAATATAATACAGATTAGAGCGATATAAATATTAAAATTTGTATATTTAAGAGTACTTATACAAATAAAAATACCCACAATGAAATGTAAATAATTATAGCGTGAATAATTTTTATTTTCACTTCTCCTTTGACTGAAAATACTTATTTCTGCTAAGAAGAGGGTAGTAAGTGAAAGTTGTGTAATGCGCGCACCGCACCAGATTTTTTAGTTTATGTTAAATCTCTGTATCTCTCAATGGTAGTCACACAAGTCCAAATAAGAATGCCGATTAACTCTAGAAACGATTATATAAAATCCTCAGATCATACTTTTTGTAAAATTATCTATTTAAAAAAATAAAATAAAAATAATCTAACCACAAAAAACGTTTTTTTTTAAGTAGCCCCATGTCATTATTTTGTCCCATAAAACTCAAGCAATTTTTATGATGTAAATTTTTTTTATCATACAAGAGAATCTACATGAAATTTTGAAAGCCGATTTCAAAATAAATTCATTATTATTTTTTTTTTGTAAAATTAATAGAGAAGTATTAACAACATCTAATTAATATTTTTACTATCAAACCGAGCTTAGTAAATTATATACTGCCTATCTTCCTCACACCCATTCTTCTTGATATGTTATTGAGAAACTTGCACTCACTTGTTAGTACGGCCGGGTACTCCTGAACTGCTAGATCCTTGCTGCGCCACGGATAGAAGCTGACAACCTTATGCTTGACAAGGGATAGAGCTGACGCTATAAGGAGGGCAGAGGTACGGGGAGGAAGTGTGCCACGACCGACCAATAGGAAGAGGCCTTCTAGAACCCTTCGGCCAATGGGAGAGTTCCTTTTGACTTTCCCCGGGCTGCGCGGGAAAGTTACCCCCTCTAGTTTGCCCCTGCCGGCCGGCTGCTTAATCCCTCAGTAATTACCTTTATGCGTTAACAAGCAATTAATATTAACGTTATTGTTAAACTTTATAGCTTATATATATATTTTTTTAAGAACTTTATTACTATATTCACAGATTTCACATAGATGAGAATGATAATAAATAGATAGAATAATCGTAAGGTGGACAAATTACAGGAATATTCCTGTATCTTGTGATAAATACTTAATTTGTTAAGATACATAACAGCATGATTATTGATTGAACGACCCTCTGTTAACTTGCTTAATGTTAGTTGGTTGTTTTTATATCTTAGGCCTAAAACATCCAGTTCATAGGCTCTCGCTGATTGCTTAATGTTATCAGCTATAGTAAATAGATAATTTGGTGATTATAACGTTTAAAAAATCTTTCTTTGTTTATATTTGAAGTATCGTAACCAGAAATCTATTAGTAATTCTATAATTTCGTTGGATTTTCAATAATTATGTATTACAGATATCTTTGTCCAGTTACATATTGTTGTAACAGACTCGAGAGTATGTTAAAACCTTTAAAACACAAATCTAAAATAAGTTTCTTGAAACCACTTGGAAGCCTACAATATTTAACACTGCATTTTTAAATTCAACAAGCCTGCAATATTTAAATTCAGAAAATAAGATCATCTCTTGCCCTACTTCATTTTAGTCGCTTACTAATTCTCATGCATTATTAAGCAGTTGTTTTTCAATACGGAGTTGCATTCACACGCTATAGATCTCTGTTTAATAATATTAGTACAATTTATTTATTTATTTATTACAATTTATTTCGCCCGCAATTACTTCTACACACATAACAAAACTACAGCTAACAAATACAATTTAAAGTTTAGAATAGTTACAGATGAAAATGATAGTGCAATTGAAATAAAGTTATAAAAATTGAAAGTTAAAGATTTAAAAGGAGATAAGTTAACAAAGAAAATAAAAATAAAGGTTAATGATTTTAAGAACAAAAGATAAAAATTACATACGGTTTAAATATTAAAAAGTTCAAGAACCATTAAAATTAAATATTTAAGATTAGAAAAAGATAAGTTAACAGTCAAGAAGGACATTTAAATAAAATATTAATGATTTCAGGAATATAATTTAAAAATACGGTTTAAAAAATAAAAATAATATTAAAAGAAGAAAAGTTAATTCAAATATATATACATATATATATATATATATATATATATATATATATATATATATATATTTATTTTTTTTTTTATTTCGAACTTCGTTGGGTTTTCTATAAATATGGGTTACAGATTTTTGCCCAAATTTTTCCTTATTACTTCCACTTTCCATTTTGCTTAAAATAAAAATAGTAATATAATTATAAAAACCTTATATTGAAATAAAAAATAACTTAATTACCTTTTTTTAATAATATATTTTTTTTTTTACTCAACCTGTCAGAAGTTTCGACAACCAGCAGTTCTGATGACGAGGTGTAGAAGTAGTAATAGGTGAAATACGCGTGAGGGAGAAGAATGCCCAGCGGCGTCCTTACTGTCATGATTTTAATATTTGTAGTTATTGGACGAGATACCTCATTCAGCTTCTTTTAAGCCTGCTATGGGTACTATGTCCGTGTAAGTTATTGTGAAATCTTTTGTAGTATGTTCGTATGTGATCGTTAACTGTTGGCATCTGTAAGTCTTTATGTAGAGTAATGTTAATGAAGTATCAGGGAACCTTGGTGATAGTCCTGAAAATGTTTGATTGAAAAGTCTGTAGTTTACGAATGAAAGTTTTTTTGGCTGTCCCGTATATCTCTGGAGTGTAGGTCCAAATGGGCTTAATTAGGTAAGTATATTTGTTCAGCTTCTGTCTGAGTTTTAATTTCAAATGTCTTGAAATGAGTGAGTATAATAGTAGTAGTCTTAGGTTTAGAGTTTTTGTTTTGTTCTCGATATGTGGGCCCCATGTCATTCTTCTGTCAAATGGCAGTCCCAGATATTGAACTTTGTCTGTCTGAGGAATTTGGACATTGTCAGGGTAAATAGCTGGGCAAGTTTCACGTCGAAGGGTAAAAGTGATATGTAGCGATTTGTCCTTTTTGAATCGAATTTTCCAGAGTTTGCACCAGTCGTGGAATTTGTTTAGATGGTATAGAATCTGTGAGGCGAATGTTGAATTTTGATGTCTTGTCAAGATTGTTGTATCGTCTGCGAAAGTTGCGGTCAGAGTACCGACACTGTCTGGAATATTGTACGTGTAAATAATACATAACAGAGGAGCGAGTACTGATCCCTGAGGCACTCCTGCTGAGGATGGTTTGATAGTAGACATTTCTTTGCCTTTGCAGACAGAGAAAATCTATCACAAAGAAAAGAATGAAGAATAAGATAGTAGGTTGGAGGGAGTATCGTCTTAAAAGAAGCCCATGCTGCCAGACTCTGTCGAAAGCTTGAGCAACATCCAGAAATATTCCTGTTGCATATAATTTGTGCTCTATTGCTTTCGCAATTTAGTGCGTCACTCGGTGTAATTGATGAATGGTGTCTGCGGAATCCAAATTGATGTTCAGGTATTATATTTTTGTTTGTCAGTATGTCAAAGAGTCTCTTGTAGAGATGTTTTTCAAAAAATTTAGAACATAACGGGAGCAGTCTAATGGCTCTGTATGATGTAGGAAAATCTGTGTTCTTGTTTGGTTTGTGAATCAGTGTAATATATAAATATTATCTACCGTAATGAAAATTTGGTTGTTATGAGTATTGCGTTATATATTGATGTTAGGTACACTAGAGCTTTCCTTAATTAAGTAATATAAAAACAGCAGCAGTTTTAAATCGTATCATTTGATTTTAACTTATAACATTTTATCAACGAAAATTCTAAACGGGGCAAATTCTATCTGAAGATGGAAAAAAAATCGTTAATTTATGGTTGTAATAACTATTAATGAACACATATTTGCCTTTCACTTGAATAGTATGATAGTTTCAGAAAAAAAAATTGAGTAAACAGTCCGCCTGCAAATATACTCCTTAAAATAATGCAAATAATTCAACTATATATCATGGGCATCATCCACAGCATGACAAAATAACGAGGAATAGAAATGTATAAACACTCACATAATTTATACGATATTGTTAAATTAAAGCATATTGCAATTAAAAGGTCTTACTTATTTACAAATTTCATTGAACCAAATATCTTCGCTAAACATAAAATGTCTAATTATTTCGATTAAGTTTGTTATGTCAATATAAGTAGTTATAGAACATAAGTATAATATAAAATGGTTTTTAATATTAGGTTATCTTATTCTCATCAATGCAGTCAGATAGGGCCTCGATGCCGAATTTGTAAAATGGCTGTCTCTAAAGTTTCTTCAATTTTTTATTTATATGAAATTACTAAAGGTCTCTTATGGTTATTTGTAATAAAACGTAAGTGCGATCCATACCACACTACAGCAGAAATTAATTTTAAAAATTTAATAACCCTTAAAAATATTAATTTAATTATAAATATAAAGTTGTTTTTATTTATTTATTTATTTATTCGCGTGGACAGATTATTATATTGTTGTGAGATATGAACACATTCACACCATATATACAGAAAACATAAAATTAACAAAAATAAAATAATAACTAAATAATAATCAATAACTATATATAATAAAAATAAAATAACCTAAAGATAAGCAAATTAAAAATTCAGTCATATACCTATATACAATATACACAATCAGGCAGGAAACCCCAAGCCTGGCTTGTCCCTCCAACTAAAGAGGGAAAAGTAGGGCTCCAAGAAATCCCTGCGCTACTCTCTCAACCGCATCACTGGTGCTAAAACCAGTGTAGATTGAGTGAGACCGCTTTAGCCACATACACTCATGTCTTCAGTGGAGAATCTGGTCATTGCTAGAACTCCAAGATACATACTAGATCTCTTGGCCAATGCCGCTTCAACCTTCGAGAAGGATTGTAGAGATGAGTGGAACTAGAGGCATTGTACAAGTGGATTTGGATGATTTGTAAGGTTCTGATGGAATTTGGAATTTTTTTCAGGGATAAAGTCTAGGACTAATGGGATATTAAGGTCATGATGTAGGGTTTTGTTGGTTAGAGAGAGAATCACTTTATTATCATAAAAGGGTGCTGCCCAATTACATTGGGTTGCTTTAAACACAGCATACTTATTAATCGCTACAGACAATTTTCCAAAACTAATATACAATTATATAGTATTAACAACATATATGAGCATAATATACAATTTTTTTTTTTTTTTTTTATCTATATATATATTTTTTTTTTATCACAATTTTTTTCCTATATTTTTATTTATTTTTTATTTTTTATTTATTTATTTTATTTTTACTATTTCTTTAATTCACTTATTAGCACTATACATCCCTTTCTGTTCCTTCTCTCACTCTATACATTTTTCTCCTCTCTTTTCCTAACCTAATTCATAACATGCATACAAATACATAAAGTGCAGTGGACGTGGTCAATAAATAATGTAAAAATGCCGCAAAACACGCATGCCTCCCCCCATGAAAAACTCTCTATCCATGCACATGGTGATGGATAATTCCCAGGGAGTCAAGGATTATGTTCTCTGCCAACCTTGCCACGTCCTTTATGTCGACACCAAGGCCCTCCATGAAGCTCCTTGTTGAGTCTGGTATCGTTCCGCGAGCTCCGAACCAAAGGCCTCTCACGTGGAACTCTCTCGGCCCGAAACTCTCGCGGAACTTTTCACTAAGGAAAGGGATGCATTTCTCATATGTCTGTTTTTTCTCCCTTTCCACTTTTCCTGCCT